CAGATCAGCATGCTTTGGCAGCGATTGAAATGCAAGAGAAAGAAAATCAAAAAGTAGCAATTCAAAAGAAGGGAAAAAAAGGAACAACAACAGCACACTTTCAAACAAAGGATGACTATGGAAGTATCACAACATTATAAAGGAGTAGATGCGACGCGAGTACAAAGAGAGAAAGCACTCTAGAAAAAGCACAATATCTCAGTGAGGGTAACAAGGGGCAAAAGGGCCATGCGAAATAGCAAAAGCACAATTTATCACATGGAATGCGAAGACGCAAAAGACTCAGTGCAGAGAAAAGCACTACCTAACTATGACCCGAAGGACGGGGTATGAGAAGACCCGAAGTCATGCGGGAGGTCCTTCTTTTTGGTATTTAGATTGTTGGTTGACCACATGAATCACTATTGTATGTTATAACAAAATGAGTGTTGAAGGGGCTTGAAATTCTTGTGAAGATAACTTCTGGAACTGACAAACTGCAAGGCCGCATTCACTTGTAGCAGGGCAGCAGCTATGGTGGGTAGTGCCTAAACGTGTGACATCGGGTATTTTGAGAAAAAAGTCCATGAAGCCCACAAAATTGATCCAATTTTGAAGCCGAGGGCAGATTTGGAATCCTCACATCAATAGGAATCCAAAATTGTATTGAACATATTGTTTTTAACAATTTTTACAGTAGAGAAAGTTCTTTTCATCCAATGGAGTTTTTGATAAATCAGCTTTTTGGCCGGCCCAACATTACACACTTTTAGACACTACCCACTATATGTGAAACTAAAATACCCAAGAAGACTAACCTAGCCAAATTGCAATGGCCATAGACGGCCAAATTGGACAAAGCGTCAAATATACCAGAGAAATCAAAGCCTTGTGCTGACCATCTGGCCCACCCACAAAATTGGCCAGCCGCTGGTCATTTCACATGTATTTGAATATGCCTGTGTGTCACACAATGAAAGGGCTTACCAAGTACCTTCTTGATGGCTACCTATGTATATCTGTTTGTGTCAAAATTGTTATCTGATTAAATTCTTCTTCTGGATGGCCTTTTTTTTGACTTAAAATGAAACTTGAAGAGACACAGAAGCCCATTGAGTCTATCCAATAAAAAAAAACAGCAAACAAAAAAGTCTAACCTCAAGGAGCCAAATCAGTCATCAAAACCTTGGTCACATCAACTATTTGAATTTGTTAGAATTAATTTATTACAAACTTCACAAACTGCTGAATCTTCATTGCTAGAGTGTTCTTTACCCAACGGTTGGATAAAAGAAATGGATAGAATAGGAAGAGAGTTTTATGTAAATCAAATCACTCATCAAACAAGCTTTGAGTTTCCTCAAATTGAGGACATTTAGATAAAACCAATTTTGTCTAAATGTATGAAGAAAACACGATTAATTTCTAAACCCTCAAGATTACCTCTTTTTCTTCCTGACCTTGATAGGGAAGAAAGTACTCAATATGATCAAAAGAGTCAGACTAGATCTTCTTCTCTTGACCTTTCATCTACTTCTGACAGTCAAGATATATCTCAAAGAACCTGTCTAGATCTTGAATCAATTGGACATCTTCAAACTCAGTCATCATCCAGTAGGACAATGAAGATGATCAACTATATACAACCCTGGTGACTGTTTGGTTCATTTTAGGAGATCACAATACATGGAACGTTGGTTCCGGGAAATTGAAATGTGATTGTGGTGACAGATCTGTAATTGGATATGCCTACGGTGTCAGTTGTACTGGCCAGCGGCAAGGGTGCCACTATACTATACTGGTATGAGTATAGTTGGGTATAGTATAGTTTAAATTGTACTACACTATACTCAGTATAGTATCAATTGATCCACTATACATGGACAAGGGTTACACAAGTTTTCCATCAGAATGTTCAACTATACTGCACAGTATAGTATAGTATAGATGAGTATGGTTGTACTATACTATACCGAGTATAGTCCAAGTACAGTATAGTTGAACTATACTATACCGAGTATACATAGTCACAGTACAGTATAGTATAGTACAGTATAGTATAGTATAATATAGTGGCAGCCTTGCCGGTGGCCAGCGGGCCGCGCTGGTTGGTAGGTTTGCACAGAGATGCTAATGCTCACAAATATATGAAAATCTTGATGAAACACCCTTTGAAAGCCCTGTGGAACATGTCCCAATCTCAAGTCCGCTGCTGCCTGCAATTGCACCCTAGTCCCCAAGTAGTATTCTCAGCATACGGCTTCTGACACTAGAATCTATATGTATCACATTGTTCTTTCAGACCCTGATCAACCCATAGACAAGATGAATGCCAATGTTAGATCATTTTAGATGCTATTGTATCACCATCTCAACAAACAAAGATCAATCTTTAAGCAATTACTGTAGAAATCCTGAGTTGTGACAAATCAATTGATTGACAGAAAAATTGTTGTCTTGAATTGCACTGTTGTATTTACTGGACAAATGATAAATAATGATGTCTTTGGAAGACTATATCACATATTCTAGAACATCACACCTCTTCAAATACAATGTGGGTAGGTCATGAGTGGAACAACTCCAATTCTTATGAAAGGTCAACTAAAGCAACTGATTTACCGTGATCTGGTGAGGCAAAATTTGGCATGGACTGATAGAGCAAAAATCATTTGAAAATGGATGTGAGAAGAAAGATGAACAAACAAACAATAT